GCTAATATCTGCTATCATTAAATGGTAATAGGTCATATATAGACACCTGGCTAATAAAGAAATTCATTTAAACAAATTTTAATACATATGTGAGATGATCGTAAACGAAAAATAATCAATAAAAAAAGGTACCGGTCCCCGACGTAATAGAAAAACTGCAGCCGGTCCGTCACACTCAAAAGTTTGACGAGCACTGCCCTAGAATATGTACTCACCCATACTCCTTCGCCTAAGAATTCGTCATAGAAACAGTCTTTATATATTTAAAGCAAACAAATAATCATTTTATACATTGGAGAAATGGAAATAATTTACTTCGATAAAAAGATTTTAAAATCAGTTTTCTTTTCCACCGAAAAATGTTGCCATCTCAGTACCCTCTAGGCACAAATTCTAAAGCAATGAAAAGGCAACATTTTTTGTAGAAAAGAAAACGCTATAAACTTTACGAAGTATACTTCTTGTGGCGTGATTGTTCTTTGTATTTAAGTACGACTGTATTGAAACCAGTTTCTAGTAAATCACGTGTTTTGTTACAAACATATATACACATATGTATGTTTGTAAATTAATTATCATTTGAGCGATTAGAGTCAAATCGATTTTTTTTTCGAATGCATACTTATTATGTAGTTTGTCAACCTTTATATTCATAAAACGACATATTGCTAATATTTTATGTAAATATTAATATAAATAAGTGATTACTGTACGAGTAAAATATAACGTAATACCGTTCGAAAATTTATGTACAAGGGTTGTTTGATAAGTCAGTGAACTTTGAGTAAGAAAAAATCTTTCAAATTCTCTCTCAATTTGAGAAACTTGCAAGTGATGCACGAACGCAGATTCACTGTTAGCAGTTGCCCACGGTTGCATTTCAAACATAATCCGATACATTTTTCCAGAATTTTTTAAATTCTTTCGGGTTGACAAAAACCAGGACCTTTATTTATATTTCTTCTTATTCTGACTTTTTGGACCACGTCAACCGATTTCGATAATTCTTTTTGCATCGGAAAGGTAGTGTCTCAGAGGTGGTCCCATACTATGTATACATATATGTATATATATTTTTATATGAGAATTGAAGTCGGTTTTTTTTTGCTAAAAATTACTTGTATTAAAATGATTTTGCTTCTCGATACAAGGAGAATGTCCTTCTGAAGAAAAATGTTGCAAACACAACCTATCGATTTTGTTTAATTTTATTATTATTTGCTTAGAAACACGCAGGGCCAGAACATGAGAAGAGTTGCCACCTGTTAAAAAATTTAACTATATTACGTTAAATAAATCACTAAAATATGGGCATGAATCGAAATGATTTTCGAAAGAAAAAGGTTTGAAAAGGCTGTAGTTTGAAAATATGTTGAAGAGTGTTGCCACCATTTTGAAATGTCAAATTTAATTTATATAATATAAGATATATATTAAAATACATGGGTATCAATCGGAATTCCTTTATTTCTAAACTACATGTAAAGGCGTTGCTACCTGTTTAATGAATAAAATAAGGTAATTTAAATATGCCTCGCAATATGGGTATCAGGCCAAGTCAGTTTTAGAATTTGAATTTTTCTGCTAATAGCCAAAATATACAGTATTTATGGTAACTGTTGTGGTCACAATGTTATTTTGATTAATTTAGTTGTATTTGAGATTTATAAGTCAAGTAAAAAAATAAAAATATTAAAAAAAAACAAAAACAGAAGTGAAATAAATAAAAGAATAAAAAAGCGAAGTCCAAATTCGTAATTGGTAATAAACTATAAAAAAAAGAAAAAAATGTAAAATACAATAAAAAATAAACAGTCTACGTTTGTAATTTGTAGATAAGTTATAAATACAAGGCCTTATCGCAAATTCCATGTGAACAAATATTCCCAAAAATTATAAAGCAAAACAAAAAAAAATTTCCCAGTTTGTTTTTGGTTTGCATGGTAAATTATGGGAACGTTTTATTCACATGGAATTGGCAATAAGGCTGATAAAAACGAAAACAAAAAATAACAAATAGGTACCACAAAATTAAAAAAGTGAAGTCTAAATTCGTAGTGTAGCCTCCTCCAGATGGGTTTGGTTAATCGATTCTAACAGTTCAAATGAAAGCTGATACCTTTGAAATAAATATGTATTCAAAATATGCACTTAAGCAAGAAACGCAGTTATTGCATACAAATTGCAAAGATTAATGAAACATTCCATGAAAAAAATGTTATTAAAACCCCTTTTGGAAATGTTAAAATTTCTATTGATTTTACATAGTTTGTTAAAGTGAACAACTCGTACGATATGAATTCTTTATGAGTCTAGAAAAATTCAAGAATACTGCTGGATAAAAACAAAATGCTTAATGATTTCTGTAACGAGTATTTATTGCTGCAACTAGCCTTTGGAATGCGAATGAGTTTCGTGCCTATTATCATTGCTTACCACATTTGCATTTCAATTCACATAACCGTTATTTTGTGTCGCCAAAACATCAATTAATTGCTGAATTACTACTATTTATTATTACATATATCATTAATAATTTTTTTACTTTGTTTTTTTTTGCCACTTCAGCTTATTACCTGCAACAGTGTCCGCGCGATGAAGAATATGTCAACGAATGCCTGCGTGACAGTGGCAATAAATTGGTGCATTATCTGCGGCAGGGTATACCTGAATTGGATATTTACGAGGTGAGCTACAGGAAGTTACACCCACTCGAGAGCATTTGCACGCACATACATACATACATATCTATTTCTCACACATACATGTATATTTACTTACGTATATAAATGTACCCTGCGAGAAATGTATCTAACAGTGGAGGATTTAAATATTTGCCGCCCCTAGGCAATTCATAACTTGCCGCCCTTTTTTCACGAAAAAAAAAAAATATATATATATATATCAAATATGATTGTTATTGTCAGTGCTTTATTACAATATAGTTCGTTAATAATGAAATACATAACGGAATTAACAAATTCGACATCAGCATGGATAAGGTATTCAACAAAAACCCTCTTTCAAACACTTCTTTTTCACAGTTCTTTACGTCTTGATTTTTCAGCTGCGAATTCGCGGATAATATCTTCACAATCGATAGATAGAAACAAATCTGACTCTATAGTCAGCAACGCAAGAGCATTCAGTTTGTTTTCGCTCAATGAAGATCTGAGATAGTTTTTCACGCGAAGCTGACCTTCAGATTATTCACGTTATGATACACTTATGAAAAACTGGTGGGCTTGGAATCAAGAATTTTCTCGAAAATGCACGCTCGTTTTTCGGCAGTGTTGTCAAGTGTGGTAACCTTTTAGATGATTCTCGTTCTCGGGGCAGCGTGTCGGCTGTTTCTTTGCGTCACGCATAGGCGCGCCGTCAGGTTTCTAAGCCGCGTGAATGAAAGTTAAATGGAAATTTCAACGACTGCTATACTAAGGAAAAATTCGCAGCGTAATTCTAATTTTGAATTGTATTGAATGAGATGAATCATTAATAATATTTTACAGACACAAACACAATTTCAAGTGCAGCTGAATCCAAATAAATTTTTTTCTTTTAATTTAGCTGTCTTAAATTTTGCCGCCCCTTAATTCTGCCGCCCTAGGCTTCAGCCTATGTTGCCTGTACGATAAATCCGCCACTGGTATCTAACTATAAGTTAACTTGAAGTTGATTAGGAAGGAACTAAAGGTCACTATTATCTGTATATTTTCTTTGGGGAAAGCCAACTATATTCCTATTGCGATGGCCGCGAAATAATCAAGGGTGGTTACCACTGCATTTCGATATTCCTTTTATTTGTACTTAATTCGAAAAAGTATTTGTGAAGTGCAGAAAGAAAATGTATTCAAAGTAAAATTTGTATCAGGATATTTACACAGAAACTTGTTTAAAAAAAGAAATTTCTACATTACTTTTTGTAACTAGCTACAAGGTATATATTTTATAGAAATCCCGTAAAAAATTTAACTACAAGTGGGTTATTTTTTATCAATTGATACTTTTTCCGCAGGATATGTTTATGTACATATGTGGATTTTTGACAAAACAACTTCTCTCGAGTGAGGTTATTTTCTCTTCAAAGCAATAATTCATTGAGTTCTCGAGTTTTTGCGTTTAGTCATTAACAGGGAACGGATTTTGATAAAACCTATAAAATAGGCAAAATAAAATGACGAAATAGGCTGGAGAAGGCAAAATAAAATAGCGAAAAGGGCAGGAAAAGGCACTAGGTACTGCAAAAAAGGCAAAAGAGGGCAAAACAAAATAGCGAAAAAGGCAGGAAAAGGCACTAGGTACTGCAAAAAAACCAAAATAAGGTACTAAAGAAAGACAGAAAATACGAAGAACAATCAAAAAATACATTTATTTTAGAAATGTTTATATTACAAGTAAAAAGAGAAAAACTATGAACAAGTTTCATTATATGAAAAATTTGTACTTTGAATCTTTGACTATTTTATCCTTTCGGGTTTCTAACTCATAAAACTTTGGTCTGTATAGTTGTTGTAACATTGAACCACAAGATGCATTTTGAAGTTTTCTGGTAGCATCTTCATTCGATTCTCGCGAAGAAAAGCCTTGAATATACTAAATGTGCACTCGACGTAAATTGATACAAGTGGAGCCCAATTTAAATATGGAACGTTTGAAAAGTTCATATTATCAGGAATAAGGGCGATTTCCTCGCCCTTTACAATTTTATCCACATCCGTTATTGTCTCCAAGCCTACGTTAGCAGAGAAAACGGCTTTGAATTTTTCCAACACCAATTTGGCATGAGGTCCCTGCACTTCTATATAAGCTGCATGGGCATGTGTATATTTTTTAATCTTAAAAAAAAAATTGTAAATGCTATAATCACTTTTTTAAAGGTAGAAAAGGCAAAAAGGCAAATATCTTAAAAAAGGCAAAAAAAAGCAAATATCTTAAAAAAGGCAAAAAAGGCAACATCAAATGTGTATATATGGAATCAGGAAAAACTAAATCGTAGACATTCTTAATCGAATATACTCTACTCTTTAGCAGAAAAAAGGCAATTTCCATAAAATCCGTTCCCTGGTCATTAATAGTAGAGTAGTTCAAGATGATAGCTTATTGGTAGCAAAAAAAAAAATGTCGCATTTTTTAAATGGTAGTTCCTTATAATCTACTCTAAATTCCAACCTACAGAAAGCACAGAGGATGTTTTGTCAAAAGACCACAGATATGTAATACTTTATATTTCTTTCAGATTGAACCAGTTGTCATCGATGAGATTGGCATTGTGTTGGGCAGTGGACCGGACGGTTATCGCGCCCTATTCCGCAGTATACAAGCGTATGGTGTTAGCAACATAACTGTAACAAATGTGCGGTGAGTACTATAAATACTTAGATATTCTTAAATATATAAAATAGTTCACTTAAACATGTATATTGAAGATGAAAAATTGCTGTGATAATGCATTTCTAGTTCTTTTAGGCTTTAAAGTTTGAAACCGAAAAATAACCGACGACTATCGACCCCTTTGGTAACCGACCAATATTTAAGTCCTTTCTAGGAGAGGATGCCTCAAAGTCCTCTAGGAGTATGAAATGACAAACGGTGCCGAAGACCTTTGATAAGGCCGGTTAAGGCCATAAATATTTCCCTTTTGTTCTTGTTATGAATTAAAGTTAATTCTTTTTTTTAATAAAAATTCGAACTTAAGTTTGTTCAAATAAAATTGGTTAGGCAAGTTATGAAAGAATTGAAATTTTCGCAGGAGCTTGAGGACTTAAATTTCGAAGCGAGATGCCGGCGATTTGGCGGAAAAATATAAGAATAACCTTTCTCCACCTGGTATGAAGTAATCATTTAACTGCGTAGAAAATACACGACTTAAAAATAAACTGCTTAAGGCAACCGTAGAATGCGTGGAAACGCGTGGGCGTCAATAGTACATAAAATTTCAATTTTAACCAACGCGCGAAGTAATTTCATGCCAATTCCAGCCATTAAGTATTCGTGCATTCACAAAAACATCATTTATCTTAATTAAATTATCTGCACAAAAAAATATATGTAGAAAAAAGATAAAATAAATCGTTCCCAAGCATGTGTGTACGTTAGGGTGGTCCAAAAACAGTGAAGTCGGAACTGTTATGCTCTCACCCCCTAGAATTGTTCTATATCGAAAAAAGTATACCCTTATTTTTTATATTGAAGTCAAAAAATATTAAGAGGCGCTCAAAGTTTTCCATGTATTTTTTTTTCCGTAGAATTGGTATAGAATTCTTGAAAATAAATATTTTTCGATCGGAAAGCTTTTGTTCCCTTTAGGAGACTTTCAATAATAATATCCAATTGTTTATTTAACCATTTTTTAATACTAACGATTTTTTATTGGTCCCCCCATTGCATTTTTCGGGTTCTTTTTTGGGTTTATGGCGGACCTATAAATTATAGTTGCGATGAAAAAATGGTTAAATAAACAATGTGGTATTATTGTTGTGAATCTCCTGCAGATAAACAGATAGAAAAATATTGATTTTTAAGAATTCTATACCATTTCTACGAAAAGTTGTATTTTCCCCATATAAAATACATGGAAAACTTTGTGCGCTTTGAGCGACCTCTAAATACTTTTTGATTTAAAAATAAAAAAATAGGGATATATATATTTCGATATAGAACAATCCTAGGGGGTGAGAGCATAAAAATTTCGACTTTACTTTTTCACATGCATTTTTGGACAACCCTAATGTACATATGTGCCGCCTTTAAATTAACCTTGACATAATGCGGTTTTTTTGCGCCGTGTATGCCATGTATATTTTCGATTTGCGTGCCAGTGAGTAATTTATAGTTTAAATTCATGAATTAAATAGTTACAATTTATTTTATGACCACGTACATTAGAAAAGTTTTTATGCTAGGTTGCTGTAAATTTAAAACTGTTTTATAATATTGCGTGACTTTTAAGGAACTCTGATCAACTTTGTACATATATATCTGGTTCGTTTGTGAGTTATAATAATTTCTTGGGCGGTTAAAAGAAATTGCATTTGATGAGTTTTAGGCGATAGGGGCATAGAGATGGAAAGCAATGAACCCCGTCAGTGTGAGACTTTAACCTTCTAAAACCCTTCGCATCCTTAATCATTCGCAGCACTAAATTTTCTGGGACAATGTTAAGTCCCAAAGCTTCTACGTCGTTGCTGACTGAATCTGATAAAAGCGAAGCGCTAGGTAGTGGTCTACCTTACTTACTATTACGCTATGCTTCAAGGAAATGAGTCGATGAGTTCATCTTCCATCTGGGGTGGCTTCCCACCTTACTTGCCACTGCTTCTGCTATAATAAAGCAACATCTTCCGAAACCGTTCGAAATGCAGTGCATGTGCGTAGAGGACATCGACGATTTGTGGAGTTAAAACTTCGAACATTTGATCCTCTTTTCAATTCCTGCCTCCACTGCGGCTTAGTTCGCCCATGTTGCTGGTTAGGTGAAGCGGTTGTCCCAAGCTAGGCACAGTTTCGCGGAGTTTCTCAGGACAGAAAAACCTCACGGTCGCACATGTCTTATTTTAACCCAGCGCTCGTTCAGCCGACATGTTCAACTCTGCAAGAGTAGTCCAAAAGAGTCAACTCGACGTCACTCCACTTGGTCAACTCATCTGACCCGCAGTTTGCTGCAACATCTCCGTGGGCTGGTACAGGCCTCTAAAATCTTAAATTTTATGTTGATGGAAAGTTTCCATCAAGCTTCGACTTACACCTCCGCGTAACAGCTCACCTCTGCTTCTGTCGAACTGCCTTCCATCCTTTCATACTACCCTAATGTGAATGTAGAAAGAGCTCATCAATATCACCGCTTTGTTTCCTATAAAGGCGGCAAATTGTACCCACTGCAGCCTTTTAACTAGCATAGTTTTTTTAGCGCATTCCATCAGATGAGGACTTCCTAGCAACTTATTGATATTTGCATAGGTTTCGTATAAATGTCTTTATGTCCATATGGTTAAAATTTTGCTTTTTGGAAGAGTTGTACTCAAACTCTCTCAACCTTTTCTATCACGTGGCGAAAGTCGTAAAGTGGAACTGAATAGTTGGTCTAATTAGGAAGTCACCTTTCCACTTCAATCTGTTAGCCGAATAACTTTTTACATCATACGCAATTATTAAACAGTTATGCAGGTAAACCATGTAGAAATAAATTACGAATTACTAGAATAAATATAGTCTTGTCTTTACTTTACAACGAAAACAATTATTCTTTTTTTATGCACGAAATTTATTAGACCATCTAATTAATACTTTAACCCGATTAATAAGCAAAAACTTATGAGCATCAAAGTCATTATTTAATCGTAAAAAATATTGATGTACGTTTTTGATTATAAACCGGCTTTTTTACAATTAGCTGCTGCGGAGAAATTACGGAGGATGAGTTACGTGTCAAGCGACATGTAAGCTATATAATTTGATCCGTAATGAAAATTAATCATGTAAACTATCATGTTTTAGTAGATTTTTCATTTTATTTTCTCAGCATTAAACAAATGCCCAATTTTGCGTCCATAACGAACTCTAGCACGAAACAAATAGTAAAACTTTTTATGAGGAAAAACTTCTTAACTCATTAATGCCGATTGGCAATTTAACTTACCAGCCGTGGTTTGCTCTTATTTACGCTCTGAGAGTGAGGTGCAAGAAATCTGATTAAGATGAACATGAACATGAAGATGAAGATGAACATGAAGATGAAGATGAAGATGAAGATGAAGATGAAGATGAAGATGAA